TTTTTTGTTAATTAAATTATATATATATAAAAGAATCAAACAAAATTTAATACAACTATCAAGTCCTACAACAATATATTTATAAAATAATGTTAAGAATAATATAAAAAATAAAAGAGAAACATAAATAAAATTAAAATGAGAATTCTAACCTTATTTTGAGATAATATTTTGCAAAAAAAAAAAAGGAAAAGAAAAATGTATTGGTATACATTATGATTTTATTAAAAGAAAAGATAATAAAAAGTACAAGTTAAATTTAAAAGAAAATTTTACCTCATTTTAGTAAGAAAATCTGCAAAAAAAAAAAAAAACTATTAGTATATCAAATAATAAGAATTTTTAGTTAAAACTAAATTGAAGTAATTGGTTGATGTATTAAAAAAAAAAAAAACCATCGAATGAGAAGGATGAAGAGAAAGAAGATGATGGATTGTCAACAAAAATGCTAATGGAATAAGTATAAATGAATAATGAAATAAAAGTAGAGATATTTGCAAAAATACAAATAGGAGAATATAAAAGATGAAAGAAAAAAGGAAAACGAAAATTAAAATGAGAAGAACTTGAAAGAAAAAATGGGGTATTTTACTTGTGGAAAAGAATGAGAAGTGAAGAGAAAACCGAAGATGAAAATGAAAAGGCAATAGGATGTTCTAGTTTTAGAGCCGTTATATAGTCAAAATATATTTGACAGAAATTCTATCAATTATGTTTCAAATTTAATTAGCCAAAAAATTTAATTTTTTTATGTTGAATGGGCGGGATTTAAGTATAATCGACAGCCTAATTTGCTGTCGATTATGTTTCTATAATCGACAGCCAATGGCTGTCGATTATAAATGTAACCGACAGTCAATGGCTGTTGATTATAAACTCTATTTTTTTTATTATTATTTAAACTAATGTGCTATTTTTTTAAATTGATGTTCAATAGATTTTAATTATCTTATCAAGAGATTTGGTTTATCTAGTTCTCCTCTTTTTTTTTGGGTTTTTTTTGCTTAGTTTTTTTTATTAATTATTCTGTAAAATTTTTGGTTTTAAAGTTACAAAGAATCAATTTTTTTTAAGACTTGCACTACTAGACATTTGATATTATATATA